TTGCTTGTCATTAAGGGTAGTAAATCTAATTAATATACGGTTCATAATTATATAAGAATAATTTTATTTAGTCATTAATTAAGGATAATAATTAATCATTAATCAAAATCATAAAAACATGATAAAAGAATTATAATTACATAAAATCATGGAGAATATGATAAATCAGCAAATTCACCTTTTTAAATATAATTAATTTCTTGTTATATATATATTAATTCAATTTTAGTTTATGGTTTATTAATATCAACTATTTTTAGATAATAATAGTCATCAAATCAGTGAAATTTGTTTCTAATTTATGATTGATTATATGTTAATTAAATATATTTTCTGATAACAACACAATATATATAGGAATTATCTTTTTATTTTATTTTATTTTTAAATATATATTTAAATTATGGATAATTCTTATCATTATTATTAATTTAAATTATTTATCTAATCAAATAAATATAAACTCGTTTTTTTTATTTTTGGCTGATTTATATATTTTATCCATTAAGGGTATAAACGATATTAATCACTACAACTTTTAATGTGGAAACTGCGTTGCGAAAAATCACTTTGCAAATTTAAGTGAATTATCTGATTTGTAATTTCTCCATCATTTAGATAATTTTGATTATTTGTCATATTTTTAATAATTTCATATAAAATTTATTATAAAATAAAAACGAATTTATATTAATAATTTTATATTTTTCTATAATAAGATAATTCTTATGTATTATGTTGTTATGTTGAATATATATTTCCTATTATAAAACTTGATATTAAGATATAAAAATTATACAATTAATAATTAAATATAAATCATCAAAGCAATTATTTGAAAAGTGAATTTGTTGATTTGTCTTCATGTTCCTAGATAATTTTGATCATTTATCAGAATTACTCTAATTTTTTTATTATTGATTATATAATTAAAACTAATTTATATTAACAATATGATATTTTAGAAAATAAGTTAATTCTTATTTATTATGCTGTTATCTCGAAAATAAAATTTTCTATTATAAAATTTAAAATTAACATATAAAAAAAATCTATACAATTATTTAAAAAGTAACTTTAATGCTTTTTGATTTGTCATATTTTCCATGATTTTAGGGAATTTTTGATATTTTATCCTAATTTCTCTAATTTTATATATAATTTATTATATTTTTAAAACAAATTTATATTAATAGCATCATATTCTTAGAAAATAAGATATTTCTTATGTATTAAGTTGTTCTCTTGAAAATATATTTTTCTATTAGTTATTTTATAATTGAAATAAATTTACATTAATAATACATAATAATTAACTTATTTTCTAAAATATCATATTAATAATACAAATTAGTTTTAATTCTATAATCAATAATAAACAAAATTATATAAATTCTGATAAATGATCAAAATTACCTAGGATCATGGAGACAAATCTCAAATTCACTTTCAAATAATTGTTTTGATTATTTATATTTAATTATTAATAATATAATTTTATATCTTAATTTTAAATTTTATAATAGGAAAATATATTTTCAACATAACATCATAATACATAATAATTATCTTATTTTAGAAAATATCAAATTATTAACATAAATTCTGTTTATTTATATTTAAATATTCAATTATTAATAGAAATTCGTTTAAGATAAGTATAAAAGTCTTTATATCTTAATTTAAAATTTCAGTTTTATAAATAAAAATATATTTCAAGATAATAACATAATTCAATAACAACATAATTCACAAGAATTATCTTATTTTCTAAAAATATGATATATTCTTATAATTTGTTTTATTNAAATAAATAAAATTACCTAAACTTGTGGAGAACATAACAACTAAGCAAATTTGCTTCTTAAATAATAGTATAGAAGATTCGTTTTATTTATAAATAAGATATATATAACTATTAAAAATATGATAAATAAATAAAATTACCTAAACCTATGGAGAACATGACAACTAAGAAAATTTACTTCTTAAATAATAGTATAGATATATAACTATTAAAAATATGATAAGTAAATAAAATTACCTAAATTTATGGAGAAGATGACAACTAAGCAAATTTACTTCTTAAATAATAGTATAGATTAGAATTGGTGTAAGAAAATTCCGTTGTGTTTCTTAACATGTTAACCAAAAAACTGTTGTGTTCTTGAACCAGAATACATTTCAACAGACTCTCCTATGACATATCAAAGCTTTATTGATTTTGGTAAGGGCCGTAAGGCTGTCTAAGAAAGGTATATGGTTCATGATAGGTTTGAAAAATCATGTGAAATCTCACATATACAAAAATCTATAAAACCTAAGAAACGTATTGAACAAAAAGATGCTTTATTTTTAAAGAATTTAAATCAACTATTACTCGAACCATAGTTGATTTATTTTAATGGTTGACAAACATATTTATTAAGAAATAATATCATAAAAATAATTCAAAATACTAAATAAGTAAGAAGTAAAAACTGAAATAATTTTGGTTGATAGTCTATATTTAACTATTATATTAATGAAATTTGTGGGTGTAATCATTTTTAACAATACTGTGGATGTAGGTTTTTTTAAATTTAATGTGGGTGTAATTGTTGACAATAGCATTGCAAGAATATGTACCTGCTCTTCAAGAACGCGTTGTTTCTTTGCAACGGGTAGATAATTGTGCAACTTTATCAAAGCTTCACTAGAACAATGTTTATACAACTTTATCACTCGTCTTTCACGTTGTATATTTTAATACTAGATGATATTCCCGTGCTCATACACGGGCACAAATATTTATAAAATATATATATATTATAATAGTTAATTGATATTTATTTTAAATTTTATATTAATTTATAGTTTGTATGTATAATTCATATTAATAATATTATATTATTGTAGTTATATATAATTTTAGATATATTATATTTAGTCAGTTTTATCATTTGTATATATATATATATATATATTGGATTCTATCTATTTCTTTGAATTCAACTATAATCTTTTTTATTAAATTTTTGATTAATTGTTTATTTACATTTATATTGGTTGTTATCGTAGAAATATAACTATATCTTGGTAAGATTATGTATTTTAAGATTTTTTGTGCTTAGAACGTAAAAAATAAACAAAAATAAAGTGTCTGATTCTATATTACATACATAAGTAATAATAAATTTTAGGAAGCTTATGAACACATATCAATATTTATAATAATTAAAATATTTTATAAATTCTAAGTAAATTATGTTTTAGATTGATTGGATGGTAAACTCAAATTTATTTTAAATAATTTTAAAAATAAGGAATTCTGATTTGCTAAGTATTTTGATTATGGTTATATTAAATTCCACAAACATAAAAACAGAAAATTAAACATCAAGAGAGTTATTAAGAAAGCAGATAATTTTAACTATTAAAATAAAATATATCTATTTGATCAAAACATGTTTATTATTAAATTTATTTTTAGTTTTGCTTTTAATATCTCTTAAAATATGCAGTAAAAATGTGATTATTTTTGAGAAATTATATTATATAAGTAAAGTATAATTTATATTTTTGCTGTAATTGTAGATATTATAATCAAATAAATATACTAAAAAAATATTTCAATAATACTAATTATAATTTTTTTGTCAATTAAACATATATTATTTTTATGTTACTTAATTATTTTATGTAATCATCTAATAAAGTAGATAGATATATACAAAAAATAATTACTTTGAAAATATATATTTTATTGTTTAAATTTTTTTCTTAAAGAAAAAATATTTCTTTTTCTAATATCAAGATTATTTGTATGAACTTTTTTTTATGAAAACACATTATATACAAATATTTTTTCATCTAAGAAGATATAGATATAAAGTATTTTATTACTTAAAAAGTATAAT